ACTGCTTTGTGTGAATTGGCTGGGAAAATCACTCAGGTCGAGTGTGAATCACGTTCCGACTTGCTTAAAGGTGCGAATATGTTTGTTGTTTTAGTTTAGCCGAAATTTCGAAATTTTTGAGAAAGACTACAACGCTCTAAATCACGGTAGTTTGATGGCCAAAGGTGTGGAAAAAGTAACAATTAATTCTAGTTTTCATAATTTCTTACTTTCCCATCAGTAAAACTTATGTATTTAGTGTAACTTGTTTGAACAATTTTTAGCTGTACGTTTTTACAACTCAAATAAAATATCTCATTATGATGAATGATATAATTGTTTTTTAAACTTACCTTCTTTTATCATCCTTCGTCATCATTATGGACCAGTTGAACAGAGTGTTTTAGTTATATTTACAAAAGCGATTGATTTCGAACATATCATCTATTTGTTTGTACCCTAGGCTATTTTACCAACTTTAAGATAGTATTACGACCAAATATAATGGCATGTTCGTGAACTCTAGATAGTCCTTTGGTATTTAAAAGTAAAATGCACATTGTAAAACTTGAGAGAGAACCGTTAGTAATAACAAAACACCGTCACTGGACACAGCCACCACAACGAGTAGAAATCTTGCTTCTGTGTTCAAAGTTTTGACTTTGATGCGAAATGTACCAGTTAAATCCCTGACGTGTGCAAGTCATTGAAGGTTTTTACGGCAATCTTTTCAGAGCGTTTTATATTATTCCATGCTAAATGACACTTACGTAGATAACTAGTAGGAAGAGTCGCTAATTTCGTTGTTTTTTTGCGAAGAACCCATCAATTCTTCGGGTTTATAACTCAAAATTCTAAAAGTCTTCCTTGTACATGTTGTAAAGTTAAATGTTAGATTGTATGTTGTACACAGAAAAGTCCTTGGTGAGCCATCGGTTCAATACAATAGCATTAACGTCAGAGGTGTTAAGTTATATAAGAGGTTAAATTAGAGATGAGATGTGTGACAGTAAGGTGAAGATGTAACCAGATACAAGTGTAAGGCTTCTGGCCGTCTGTCCTTGTCTGGAGACACGGCCACTGACGATGCTACAGTGTACAGACACATTGTCACTGACAGTATACATACGTTGACTATAAATAATCATTGGTAATGGCCACTGACTTGAAGTTTAACTAGGGGCTGCAAAACTGAATAAGGTTTAGACTAACATTCTATGGATTGTACTTTACATTACTACCTTACCGTCAGTACCGATTTTACAAAACAACGGCACGTTTGAAATATAAAAAAAAAAAATAAAGCTAGTGTTACCCCCAATATAAAATCCTGGTCAGTGGTGTACAAAGACATTCTGGTACAGACGGAACTGTCCAAAGTATTGTAGCATGCGACCAGGAGATCTTGAACATGAGCCGTGTTAAATGATCACCTTGCGAGTTATACATTTGTGCGTATTGATGCATATTTGGATTCTTTTTTGACATATATTTGCTTCGGCAACCGAGCTGATAAAGCGCTAGCCTTTAAATCTGAAGCTAGCACTTTAACTCTGGTTCGATCCCGTTTGAACCTTCCCCTTTTGAAAAAGCATAACATTTTTGATTCAAGCTTGAAACATGTTTGATTTGTCAAATCTGCAAATTTGAATGAAGCTTGCTCGGATGGGCCCGTAAACTAGATTCAAGTTAGAATCATGCATCAAAGTTCCCGCTCTTCAAGTAAGTTCCACATGTTTGATCGTGTTTTATGATATTGTTGTAGGGATACATTGCAATGCAATTACTCTACTGTTAATCAAGCGAGCAGTACCGTGTAGGCAGGTTAGCTTCAACACCATTGAGCATGACGGTTGTTGAAGCATGGATGCAAGTTGCGTGTCATGCTCGGTGTTGTTGTTGCGTAACAATGATTCGCCATAGTCCTACCGAGCCGCAGGTAGGCCTATTTATAGAAGATCTGTTGAAACTACTCTACAGTCTACAGTTAACCACCGCAAGTAATAAGATAACAATGGTGAATGGTGCTGTCGTAAACTGTAGCTGTGTTGTAACTGACGACTGCTATAACTCTCAACGGATAAACAAGGAGAGATATGCACTTCAAAGATGCAAGAGAAAAACGTGCAAGTATGTAGAGATATCAATTATGTTCCTGACGGAACGTTTACATTAAGTTATGTTTGTTTGTTGAAGATCGGCGTAGTATCTGTTTGTAACGCAATAAAATAATCATGTAACGAATTGAATCATTCTGGGACAACATTTACAGTAGTTTGTCACCTTAAAACATTGTTAGTACAAAGAAAGATCAGTCTGAGCATCACAGTCATGTAATTCATTCAAAGACGAACCACAATGACGAAAGGCAAGTGAACGGTGCGCACGTATTTGCCAATTTCTCTACTTTTAATATCTCAGAACACATACGGGACAACATTTTGAACACATTAGAAAACTGTCAATGTGCTACCAGTTTTTAATTCTTTATAACTTCAAACCCCAAATCCTAAATTTACGTTTGGTTAGATTAAATGTGCTTGGCCGCCTGAGTTATGAGTTTTTAATTATTTTTTGCATGCCACCCTCCTTAACCAATTTGAATGATTTTTATGTGCTCGGAAATAGGTTGATTTTTGACTATTTCTTTGGATCATAGATATTGTCCAGTTTGATACCAGTCCTTGTAACAACGGGGTTTGTAATAGAGAAGGGTTTGGTGATTGACTACCTGTTCTGTTTCTAAACGTTTGCTTAAAGCCAGTGACATTGAAAAACAATTTGTTAACGGTTTGCTCACTACAGTTCAACCTTCAAACTCTGGAGGTTATAGTTTGTCATATTTTTGTTGTAGTCGAACAATACAACCCCGTCATCACTACCGGTTGGTACTGTAAAGCAGTAAAACACAGCATTAAGAACAAACTATGTTTTTCACCATGTTTCACCACGCTGTGACCTTGACATTGACCTTGTCAGTTGTCACGTGACCGCAGATGTGATAGTGATCGCTTCACACTCTGATTCCCCGGGTCTCCTGTACACATTGGACACGGACGTTCATGAACTAAAAATTACCCTAACATAACCAAACACTGGTGATTAACTATGTGATAATTTTGTGACCCGGGGGTTCGAAGTCCGCATTAAGAGGTTTCATGTGCACAAGAGAGAATAGATCCCACAGGCTTGGAACAATTTATATTCACACAGAATAAAGAGTAGGCCCTAGCCTAATCTCTGGTCTGTGATATTAATTGAACACCTTCAAACTTATCTCATTGTCTTTTCAAGAAGAGGACCGCCACTACAGTATTAACATTTTCCATTTGAAAATTAAGGTTGTTTAAACTAACCTGACCTCAACCTAGCCTAACTTGATCTAACCTATCTAGCATAGGTCAAGTATTCAAAGTGGTTCTTGAAAAATCCCTCCTATCTTTGAACGGAGGTGCTAAGTTACCATTACCACAACAGCCGTATTGTACTTGGACATTTGGTTTAATTCAGAAATTTTAATTTATATTGTTATCATACTCATATATTATCAATAGACATGATTTAGCCCTTGAGCTGAATTGATGACTATCCAGTCAGCTTCCGTACTCGTAGCGGTCATCATGTACGCGACAGGCCTGTCTCTTATGCGAATATCCACTTGATACAACCTACAACTCACGATCTGAAACAATGTAACAGTTCTCAACAAAATAAATCTCGTGATTGTGGAAAGTGTGATGTTAATTCTTACCAGGTACAATCAGTGTCTGTACACAGTGTAGTGTATGAGATGTAGGCGAGCTGATTGTAGACACAGCAGTAAACTCCACATATGCGGCAGTTTTATGGGCATCAGTCAACATCAACATCCAGTAATGAAGCGACATAGAATGTAGGTTAACGTCACATGTTGTACATATAACTATCAGGGATTTCATGCTTTAGTTACAACCAGCTGATCTCATGTTGTAGTTATTGGCTGGTAGGCCTATATCACGTTGTAACCGAGTTTCGATTTGAAAGTTGTATCGCAAGTACGTGTGTACCGTTCTAAAGTTTATTATGTATCAAATGTTCATTAGCCGTGTGTGATAATGTCTGGAACGTTAAGCAGTGCTTTTTAGACAACTTGTCTAATGCTGCTGGACCTTTAAACATCCACTAAGACGTTTTGATATTTAAAATATTTAAATACTCTTCAAATAAATATGTAGAGGCCTTTAAAATATTCCTATAGAATTTCACTTAACATATTGTATGGAAAACACAGCGAGAAAACACCATTATTATTTCAATTTTCACTACATAACATAACCGCAGGAATCCTTTTGAACCAAGGCGTATTCTTGCATAATGATAATGTAATAATAATGTAAATAATAATGATAATGTAATAACATTTCAGAGACTATACTCCATCAATTTTATTTTCGTACAAAACATTAAGCATTTACTGATATTCTAAAATAGTATATATAAAATATATATTAGTTTACACGTTTTAAACTCTAAACATAAACCTATGAAACTAATTTACACTTATTACTTCGCAGATCGTCAAATTACAATATCTAATTCGTGCACCGAAGGCAACATTTTTGTGTTACTTGGATCTAGACTCTTGGTATATTTTTCAGCTTAATAACACGCTAGGTTATCCGAGGAACCGCGGTATCCCGCTCACCACTAATGATGTATAGATTATTTGTGTCTTGTATTAATGTCTTCACTAGGCAAATCATGGCCCACCCCAGTCTCTCGATCAACATACCTGGAGAAAAAGAAAAACCTCTCAAGCGCGGATATGCTATCATTACTGGTGAACCTCCTCCACCATCAACCATGCGATATTTTCACTTATGTATATTACCTGTGTAGGCAGACGCTAACAGTTACCATTGCTGTTGGATTTGTTTCAATTTTACAGCTGGAGCTACATCTTTGCACCACAATGTAACGCAGCATGTGTTAAGTGTAGGCAGAAGCTTTAAAAGCTGTTCTGATATTATCGTTTGTTCCAGCTGGACCGAGCATACGACCAAGTTATATTTCCGCTGGAGAACTTCCGCAAGGAACACATCGGTGGTGTCAAGGTAAGATAAGGTCTTAAAAGCAAATTATTATGTTTCAGTTAATGTGTTTCACCCAAACTTACCGATAACACATTCTCCTTATTGTCACGAGTCTTGTACAATATTTGACATTTTCAATGATTATAAATTAGTTACAACAGAAGTATTTTAGTCTAGTAAAATTATGATTTGACCTGGGCAAAATTGCTTTATAAGCCATTGAAGTGGTATTCGACTCAACAAATGTTACTTTACAACATATCCAAAATCCGACAAAATCCGACCATGGGAAAGTGTCTAAAAGTAAACTTTAAAATGGCGGCTATTTTTCTTAAGAGCCATTTATTTTAAAACAACAATAGTCAGATAAATATGGGTGTTAACATATGTTTTATTTACATTTTATTTCTAACATGTGTTCAAATTATTCTTTTGTTTACTTGTTGAATTGTTTATGTTTACTTACAGATTGTGATTTAATAAAAACTTACTTTATATTTTCTTATACAAAATGTGAACTTTTATTAGTAAAATTAGTGGAATCAACAATGGCGACGAGTAAAATGGTAAGTAGAAAAGAATTGGATTTGTATCTCAAGAAAAGGAAATTGCTAGAACTACGCTTGAACAAACTCAAGGATGATTTACATACATGTGAACATTCTCAAGATACATGCACTTACTATACCGATAAGCTTTCAGCAATATGGACTGACCTCGAAGCTACACAGTCAAATATTGAACTTCACACGAATTCAGTAGAAAGTGAATTAGAAATTCGATGGCAGTTAGAAGAAATACATAGAGAGATACGAACATTCCTTGAAGCAGAAAAGAAAAAGTACAGTACACAAACTGCTATGTCTGCATCTACAATATATCAACATGTCTTCTAGTTATTCGCCCATCTTCCAGCTGAACTACGTACATTACATGCCCTTGCTTTTCAGTTATATAGCCCGAGTACCACTTGGATGATCCATTGACATATACCCGCGCTTGAACCTTATCTCCAACTTTGAAATTCCTTTTGATACCGACTTGGAGTCCCTTGTTCTGAAATTTGTTCGGTTCTAATGTTGGAACAATTATTGCGAGGTTTGTTCGTACACTCCTTCCAAACATTAAGTGGTATGCTGATGTACCAGTTGAATTCGGGGATTGCCTGAGTTGCATTACAAGCCTTTGGATTTTATTTGTCAGTGTACCCTTTTCTCCCTCCATGGATTTTAACGCCTTCTTGACAGTCTGCACGTATCTTTCAGCCTGGCCGTTTGAGTTTGGGTGATATGGTGCCGTTGTTCTGTGAACAATCCCACATTCATTCATGAAGTTTTTGAACTCTTGGGAAACAAACTGTCTTCCATTATCTGAAACTAAGATTTGAGGAAACCCAAAAGTTGAAAAGATTTTCCGTAATTCTTGGACTGTCCATGTACTTGTAGTTGTTCTTGTCTGTATCACCTCCACCCACTTACTAAAAGCATCCACTAATATGAGGTACTGTTGGCCATCTGTTGGTCCTAAGAAATCGATGTGCAGATGGATCATCCAAGTGGTACTCGGGCTATATAACTGAAAAGCAAGGGCATGTAATGTACGTAGTTCAGCTGGAAGATGGGCGAATAACTAGAAGACATGTTGATCAGCTGATTCTTCGCAGAGTGCCTCAGCACAGTAAATAGAGGAGGAGGTGTTAACATATGTTTTATTTACATTTTATTTCTAACATGTGTTCAAATTATTCTTTTGTTTACTTGTTGAATTGTTTATGTTTACTTACAGATTGTGATTTAATAAAAACTTACTTTATATTTTCTTATACAAAATGTGAACTTTTATTAGTAAAATTAGTGGAATCAACAATGGGATATGGCCTTAAAACAATGCAAGAAAACATTGTACGGTTTTATTTGGTATAGTGTTAGGTGCGCAGAGTGACGTACTAAAAGTTGCCAAAAATCGGTCTACAGGAAACCCCCTCTAATGACGATTAAAAATGGCAGTTATCCCCAACATTGGACACATTAAAAAATATATCACATGCATTTTCATGCATATTTTTTAGATATTCACTCATTTGTTATTTTGTTATTTATTATTTGAGATTACCACCGATATTTATTGTGTGGCTAGTCCTTTAATATGATAGGGAACACATTTTGGCCGCCATCTTGGATCTGCCATATTGGTTCCGCCATATTGGATATAAATATATATTTTTAAACGTAATGATAGTGTTGTGACACATCATTATAAATTAGATTTTCACGCTGATTTCAATGCTAAAATCAGTTTTAAAATATATTTTTTCGTTTTGAAGATATATTCAAACGAAAATTCTCCCTTATCCATTTCTTATGGACGTTACGTAGTTTGAACATTTTTAAAGATAATTTTTCTTATATCTCAAGTTTTTACTAACGCTTGCAGTTTGTTCTAGCCTTAAAATATTCGGTGGTAATAGTGTTTTCATTTGATCTATTGATCATTAAAATCGGACGTGTTATAGACGAGCTACAAACCCTAATACAATATTAAATTTAACTTTTAAAAAAATATTTTTTATTAAAAGATGTATATCTTGGATTGCTAATATGTCACCAAGTTCTTTCTTGTCTCAAATTACTCAGTGGATGTTTAGCCTTAATTTTATGTATCACTTAATAAAATCCGACAAATTTAAAATGAGTCATGAATCTTTATTTAACAGTAAATTATTTATTTTAAGAAAATTGTCTTTAGTTTATGGCATTCATCCCCAATTCTAATAACTCCCAATAAGTAATCCATAGCTAAAACAAAAGTCAATAATGTTACTATGTATTTAAGACCGTAAAGATTTTTGGAAGTTATTTAGAATTGGGGATATATGTCTGAAACTAAAGACAAATTTTGAAAAACAAATAATCTACTGTTAAATAAAGATTCGTGACTCAATTAAAATTCATCAGATTTTAATAAAATTTTAATAAAATTAAAGCCAAAGATTCACTGAGTAATTTGAGACCAGAATGAACTTGGTGACATATTAACAACCCGAGATATACAACTTTAAATAAAAATGTATATCTAAAAAGTTAAATTTAATATTTTTTATAGGGTTCGTAGCTCGTTTCTGAATCATCCGATTTTAATGATCAATAGCTCAAATGTAAACCCTTTCATCATAGAATATTTTAAGGCTAGAACAAACTGCAAGCGTTAGTAAAATCTGGAGATATAAGAAAAATTATCTAAAAAAATGTTCAAATTACGAAACGTCCATAAGAAATGTATGGGGGTACGACTTTTTGTTTTGTAGTCTTTTTGCATTGCCTATTTTGATATGTTTGATGTTTCATACTATAGTATTCATGTTTACTGTTTCATATAATAGTTATTTTTCACATATTTGTTCAAACGTCTGCGAATAATGTCCTTCTTGGTGCAAAAACTCGTACTGCTGTACAGTATCTGAAATACCGCCAACCCTAGAGTGATTATTGAAACTGGTCCATTCTTCTTTTATAACCCATTGCGCAACTGTGGATGTAAACATAATGGCCTGTTTTGTTCTGCTTTATGAGGGGAGTACCAGATCAATGAATGTAAGAACATTGAAACGAAATGATAACAGTTATTTAAATGAATAGTTTTTCCAAGAAAACCTATTAAATTTAGTTCTTTTTAAGTAACTATGGAAACTAAAATGTACATACAAATATGCCCTTGTCATTTTAATAAAGTCTATTCTTGTAAATATTTGATATTTCAACATCCAATCTGATATTTCATTTATGTATATGTGCTTTCCGTCATCCCATACCGCCAAAAGTCCTAAAACAAATATCACAAAAATATGAAATTTTGCCGCCATTTTGAATTTGATTTTTTAGTAATTTCCCATGGTCGGATTTTGTCGGATTTTGGATATGTTATAAAGCATTATTTTCTGTGTTGAATACCACTTCAATCACTTGTAAAGCAATTTTGCCCAGGTTTAAGGGTAATTTGTCGTATTTTTCCTGGACTATTTACTTTTTAAACCCATTAAGAGCATTCTTTGAATCTTGCTCCCCATACGTCAACATTTAACATGCTGCGTGAGAACTCAGTTTCAATTGCAAATAGACATGCTTCTGAAACAATACTTAAGCTACTCTATTAGTATTCAATATTTCAAAGAGTCCCTGCTAACGTCTGTGTATCAATTCATTTATGCTAACACATGCTAAACCCTGAGTCATCACTTTCTGAGAAACAGTCTTTACATTTACAAATAGGGTATATAGATCCTAATTGTTATGGTTTGAACACCCATCGTTTGGTCTAAATAAGCCTACTAGGTCGGACGGATTATTACAAATAAATAGTAAGTCCACATTGCAATGGTAATGTAACATATACACCCTCAATTCAATTGAAAGTTGAAGTTAACGATCTCCCAAAGCATAGGAGTGAATAAAGAGCTGTAACAATTATATCAAATTTTCTTGTAAAAATGTTTTAATTGCTATCTTTAATGTAGTAAATGAGGTCAACCTCAAGCATGCAAAGGTGGTAGTAGTTTGTACGGTTATAAAACACACGAACAGTGTCTGTTTCCAAGATTTCACCTGATATCAACCTTGCATGTGACATATTGTTGTCGCCTGTTGTGACATCTCAAGGATTTGATAGTGGAAACCATCCTAAAGTTGACGTTACATTCCCATCATATGTATCCAAAGCGTTTAATGTTAAGTACCGTGTTATTTGTCGCATATTAACATGTAATAATGCCAAACTATAATGTCATTTTATTGTAAGCTGTATAATCTTTTAGATTTAGATCATCATCAGCCATCATGGTATGAACATTTGAAAAAAAAACAACAGTAGCGCTTCAAGAGGAGTTCTTCCTCAAAATTTGTCGTCTTTGAGTTAAGACACTAGCTTCAGCAGCCAATGTAGATGGATTTTAAGTCTACTTCTGTATCCCATTACGCAGTGAACGTAACGTACGTACGTAGCGATCGTAGTACTGTACGTAGGAGATC